GGAGGTGTTTGCCGGTGCCGCGATGCTTACGCAGATGGCACTTCATGAATGGTCAATGCCGGTGACTCCCCCAGTGGATCTTAACACAGGCTATGACCTCCTGACCAAACAAGGCCGTGACGAGGTGGACCGGATCATTGCTCGAGATGACCCTTTTGCCATTACCTTTGCGCCGGTGTGTACGCCTTGGACTTCCTGGACCAACATAGCCACCGGAGCCACCAAAAGCAAGATCATGGCGGAGCGCAAAAGGTGGCAGCCTGCATTGGCTTGGATGTATGAGGTGGCAAAGGACCGTTTGGCCAAGGGAAGACACGTGGTCATCGAGAACCCTTGGAATTCGGCTATGTGGGATTGTGTACAATCTCAACGGTTCTTCCGCACTGGGCCCAAAGACCACGCCACCCTGGAACCCATGGAATGTGTCAAGGTGGATCAGTGCATGTTGGGCCTCAAGGACGACCTCAACCACCTCCCACATATGAAGCCTACGGGTTTCCTCACGGCGTCTCAAGAGATTAAGCATCGGCTGGTGGGAGCTCATTGTGATGGCTCTCACTTCCACCAGCAACTGGACACAAAGAAGCGCTGCGTTGCAGCACAGAAGTGGCCGCGAGACCTCTGTGCGGTCATCATTCAAGGTCTGGTGGCCGAGCTCGATTACCTCCTCACCATGGTTGCCTTCCCGGCGGAGGCCCAAACCGAGCTCGAGATTATGTCCGACGACGAGGGTGAAGAAAACACCTACCTGGACGGCATCCACGACCCCGGCGACTTCGCTTTTCACGATGGCCAAGACTACGCAGAAACAAAAAAACAAGAAGAGTGGGAGATTGTCTATGACGAAAGCGACATTCCTCCACCTCCACAGCCTGTCGGTGAAGTACTGGAGCGACGGTAGCACCACTGGCGGCAACTTCCTTACAACACCAGAGTTGCTCTGCGACGGCTACATACGATGACAGGCCATGCGCCGCCATCAGCCATGAAACGACTATTGAGGACTGCCGGAGCCGATGCCAACGCTATCAAAGCCCTGGACCACTTCAGATACAAGGTGAACCACAACGGATTTTCCCCGTCTCAGTGGGTACTCGGGCGAAATCCACCAGATTTGGAGTCGCTCACCACTCTATGTCCGGAGGCCAAGCTGGGCATCCACCAGGAAATCCTCGACGGCGAGACCAGCTTCGCTCAGCAGATGATCATCCGCGGAGCGGCCAAGGAAGCCTTCTCCCGTGTGGACAGCTCACAGCGGATTAGAGCAGCGATGCTGAGGAAAAGTGTGCCCGGTCGAGGACCTTTCCACATGGGCGATTTGGTATGCTTTCATCGTCGACAAGGAAGCAAGGCTGGATGGAAATGGTTTGGACCAGCGAGAGTGATTGGCCAAGAAGGCAAGAGCACCTTGTGGGTATGCCACGGCGGGATACCGATGACAGTCTCAGCTGAACAATGTCGACACGCCACCGGGACAGAGATGATGGCCAAAAGGATGTTGGAGTTGAAACCCTCGCGAAAAAGGCGTCGCGAAGACATGGCACCCGACAATGACAAGGTCGAAGAAAACGACGATCCGTTCATCGACGACCTCATCGGGATCGGATCGGTTGCGGACGGCCCACAACAGCAAGGCTTCTTTGACCTCAGCAACCACGCCGGTGCCACGGAGCCTACTCCTCACGAGACGGACGAGACGAACGGACAGGAGATACCGGGACTTCATCCACCACCACCTGGTCTCTCCCCCTACAGAAGTTGGACCTTCTAGTGAGTTAGATGATCACGGGCAGGAGATACCTGGACTTCAAGCACCACCACCTGGTCTCTCTCCCGAAAATGTTCAACAGCCACATCTTGGGGGTCCAATTCAAGTTCAACAGCCACATCTTGGGGGTCCCTTACAAGATATGCCAGATGTTCCGGACAGCAGTGTGGGATCTCCAGCTATGTCTACAGGCGAACCAGAACAGGAACTCGTACCACCAAGTCGTGTCGCTAGTGGACAACCAGATCCACTACAACCTGGGCAGCCATCCTCTGAGCCTCTCCGTCCTCTACAACAAGCACTTCGGATCTCACCAGACGCACTCGACGGTCACCCACGCAATCGACACCGTTCCAGGTCACCACCGCGGGCGATGATGACCATCAGTGAAGATCCCGAGGTGGGCAAGTGCTTCCATGGATTCCTGGCTAGACGACTCAACAAAAAGAGTGCTGCTGCGAGGGCCAAGGAGCTGAACTTTACGAAAGCGACTGGTGATGAAAGGCAAGGGATACAAGAGGCGAGAAACCGTGAATGGGGCAATTGGCAAGGGTTCGATGCGGTGGAGGTTATTCCGCCAGAGAAAGTACGCGAGACGATGGACGCCAACCCGGAGGCAGAGATCACGCCTACCCGATGGGTAGACATCAACAAAGCACAACCGTGGCTTCCTCCAAAATACAAGTCACGGATTGTTGTGAGAGGAGATCTTGAAAGTGGCGCGTCTACGAGAACAGATTCTCCTACCTGTTCGGCGACCATGCTTGGACTCCTTCTCTCCTTCACGGCCAACCGGAAGCTACCCCTACGAGGAGGAGACATCACCGCCTCCTTCCTACAGAACGAGAGGCTGGTGCGAGTCCTTCTGCTGAAGCCACCCCCTGGTGGCCTACCGGGAGTACCTGAAGGATCGCTTCTGAGAGCGTTGAAGCCAGTATATGGAACACGAGACGCTCCACGAGGCTTCTTCAAGCGTCTCCACAACGTGGCCGTGGAGCAAGGACTTCGAGCGCTTCCACATGAACATGCTGCCTACGTTCTTCAAGACGAAAATGGAGTGCAAGGGATGATGGTGGCACATGTGGATGACCTATTGTGGTCAGGCACGCAGAAGATGGACAAGGTGATGGATGCGATCACAACAGAATTCAAATTCGGCAGTTTGGAGTTTGGAAGTCAGTTCGACTACTGTGGACGCACCATCACCCAAGAAGGCGAAGGCATCAGGGTTACATGCCCAAACCACGCCTCGAAAGTCCGACCTATTCCGCTCGAGATATGGAGGCGACGACAGAAAGACGCGAAGATTACCGAGCCGGAAAGGGAGCAGCTACGGAGCGTGGTTGGAAGTTTGAGCTGGATGGTGAGAGTATGCAGGCTGGATATTGCGTATGAAGTGAACTACCTACAGGCGGTGATTCAGCAAGCGGTTGTTGCCGACCTGATTGCCTGCAACAACTTGCTCTCCTATGTGAAGAAGACGCCAGACCGTGGACTGTTCTACGCCTATAACGCCTTCACTGAGCAGGAGCAGGTTATCTACAGCATCACCGATGCCTCCCACGCCGCCGACTACGACGTCTCCACCAACGGAACCCCGCTGGGAAGCAGGTCGCAATCGGGCCGCATCCTGGCGCTTGGACCACGTACACTCCTCGACCACGGCAAGGGCACCATACATATCATTGAGTATCATTCGTGTGTACTCAAGCGAGTGTGCAGGAGCACCCTCCAAGCGGAGACACAAAGCCTCATAGCAGGGTACGAAGAAGGAGAGCATTTGCGCACTCTCATGTGGGGTATGAACAACGACATCAATGACAAGGACCTCATCCGCTCCATGGATCACATGATGCTGGCGATGTTAACAGATTGCCGAAGCCTGGAACAACATCTTCGACAACCTGGACTGAGCACGGTAGCCGACAAACGTCTGGCTATCGATTTGAGCTCAATGAGGCAGCTCATGTGGCGAAAGAAAGGCGAACTGGTGGGCGACCCCTTGCTCACCGACGAGCCTCCAGGTGATGCCACTACTGTGGTGAAGTGGATTGATACATCCACTATGCTGTCAGATGGATTGACGAAGAAGATGAGAAGTTTTCAGATCGACCAGGCAATGCTGAAGGGAACTCTAGAAGTCAGCTACCAGAAAATACCCAGCTACAAAGTGGCTGAGGCCAAAGAAAATATAGGAGTCTGAGAACAGAGGTCACATGTACATGCAATCTAGATGTGACCCGCTAGCATCCACTTGACCTCAGCCACCTGGCAACCGCGATGGCTCAAGCGAGAGCAGAAAAGGACTTGACGTTGCCAGTGCGTTCTCGCATGCCACATCTTAAATGTGCTCTGACTCTAAGCTGCCATCAATTTCCGACGAGTTTCGTCAGTGTGGGAGTTAGGCTCACCGCGAACAAGGTGGAGCAGCAGGCGCGCCACGGCATTGCACTGAAGCAAGCAAGCGGTTTGGGCGGAGAAGACAGCAGTTGTGGACAAGATTCCGTTGCAGAAACCGACCTGGAAATGGAATGCTGGGAGGATGCCTCTGCAGATTCAGTTTTTGCATGCTTAGGTGGCCACCATCGAAAACTTCAGAATCGAACTCGCAAAGTATGATTCCGAGCGGAAGTGGCGACCTGAGCCGTATCCACGGAAGTTTGGAAGATCAGAAGATCAGTCTTGACAGATCTCCGCTCGCCGGCAAGGCAATGGCAAGCGACAGCGACCGACTCCCTGAGCTGCATGAAGCAGGAGCCGTCCCTAGCCGCGGAGCCCCCTGAGCCCGGAGGTCCCCGCTTTGAGCCGTGCTCTGCACTTTGGCAATGCATGACATGCCTCGGACTCGGAGAGACAACGTCCATCCGTAGAGCACCATACTTCTCTGTGTCTCCTACTGTATTCTGGAGGAGGGGAGCAGAAGTAACTAAGTAGTCTATATCCAGAGTCCAGACTCACCGTGGGGCATGGCGATCTGTGCAGCTTCAGCACGAGCCGTCGTGGAGCCGTAGCTTGGCATACATTATGCACCACGAGGTTCCGAGCATGCTTCGAGTTGGAGATGTCGGGTTCGTCGCTTGTTGAGCTGCCTAGCCTGCAAGCTCTTTGGCCACTTTTTGCACGAGCTGTCGCTGGGCATGCGGGGCGCGCGAGAAGGGACTTCGGCTTGTCATGTTTGCCGTGAGCACAAAGAAACTTAGTCACATAACGTAGCTTCCGACCCTTTCCCTTGATGAGGCAGTGCGGTCACGAAGGCTGCGTGGCCTTGAAGGAAGCATGCGCGACATTCCACTCCAACATGCCGTGGGCACTGCCTGCTTGTCTGAGAGCTCGCGGACTCCAGCCAGCTCTCTGCGGTGAGCAGGCCCTGTTGTCGGCCTGGAGGCCGGGGAAGGGGCCGCCCTCCAAGCGGAGCGGGAACGAGGCCGCAGGAAGTCGGCGGGGTTTGCTCGAGCTGCGCCCACTGGGTGCTTGTGCAGAGTTGGGCGACAAGAAGCGACTGGCCATGTACCTTGAGAGATGTGGTCTCAGCATGTGGGCACCTCTCACAATCTTCACTCCGCATGACATGTCCAAATATGGCGACTGCGACAGCCGGGTGCTATGGTTCCTGAAGCATGCTCGCAAGGAGCGGAACGAAGGAGTTTCTGTACACTTGGGGGCCAAAACCTGCCAAAGTGCGTGGCTAGCCGTCGCCCAAGAAGAGCAAGATGACTATGTCGCTCAGCGAGAAGTACCCGCAGTCCTACTGGATGAGGAAGACCGGAAGCTAACATTTCGGATCTATTTGCTATTGGTGGCGCAACACAAAGGGTCCTCTGCCATGGCGCTCGTGCGCCGAGAGTTTATTTGCAGATCCCACCCGGCAGTGTATGATGCATCCGATCCGGATTCGTCTCGACACGTGCACAGCACGCTTGATGTCTTTAAAGATGTGCAGGGGAGGAGCAGCAAAACGTTTTCTCAATGTGCGGCGGTCTGGCCGGCGATGTTGAGCATGTTCAAGGCCTGCAGGGTGCAAAACGAAACACAGAGAGACCAAGTGTGTCTTGTGCCGGGCCTGCGCTTCAGACGCTGTTTTTGCCGTCATGCATCGATGTGCAGGCGGTTCTGGAACCTTTCCTGGAAAGTTTTGCAGTCGCCAAGGATGCAGGCGGGCATGCCGTTCCAGACTAAGAATGACCCAGGACATAGATATACGAATCGGGAAGCCAGATATCCAATGTGTGTCTAATGCTTTATCGGTTTGATTGGTCTTTTCCAGGTTCTGTGCTGAGCTTCGAGCTTCTGGGAGCTGATGTCCTCTTGGATAAAGAAGGGCAGCCCTGGCTCCTGGAGGTCGCTTTCCGAGTGTGTTGCGGCTTGTGCTCTCATGGTCGCGGTCTGGCTCCTGCAAAACACGCTCGGGGGCGCATTCGCGTGCGACTGGGACTTAAGCTGTCGTGTGTTGCTTCATATGATCCGTCCGCCCGACGGACCATCTGTCATGCCACAGTGTAGCAAGAATGCGCGCCTGAACGGACTTTCAGGCTAGGACATGTCTTGTGCCAAACATCGGCAAATCGGCGACAGTAGCCGTGCTGCTCCGCCTGCTCCGCCGCCGCTGCCTCCTCCTCCTCCTCCTCCTTTTGCTGCAACGACAACAACAACTGCTACCACCACTACTACTAAGATACTACTACTACTACTAAGATACTACTACTACTACTACTACTACTACGACGACGACGACGACGACGGCGACGGCGACGGCGACGGCGACGGCGACGGCGACGGCGACGGCGACGGCGACGGCGACGGCGACGGCGACGGCGACGGCGACGGCGACGGCTACGGCTGCGGCTGCGGCTGTGGCTGCGGCTCCGGCTGCGACTGTGACTGCGACTGCGACTGCGACTGCGACTGCGACTACTGCTGCTGCGGCTACTGCTGCTACTGCTGCTGCTACTGCTGCTGCTACTGCTGCTGCTGCCACCGCGACCACCGCTGCCACCGCGACCACCGCGACCACC